CAACCGGTAGAGTGGACGCGGATCATGCGTTCATGCCCTGGTGTCGTGCGTCATGCTCTCATGCTCGCCAATATTACTCGCCTGAAGGTGTTGAAGACGTCGATCGCCATAACATTGACCCAGAAGAGTGCTGCTGCGAATGCGCTGAAAGCAACAATGGCCAGCAGAACACAGCCGTCGGTGCCGTAATCCTGCCACAATGCCGCCATGGAGCAGAGGTAGCCGATAAGCAGGCAGACGCACAAGGACGTCACACATTTTCCGGGCAGGTTCCGTGTTTCGGGCACGGCACAGAACGCCGCCAGATGCAGCAGGAGGCACAACACGGACGCTGTACGACATGCCACCAAGGCGTATGAAAAGGCGGTCTGGAACCTTTTAAGTTGGAAACGCGGGTCACAAAAGGCTAGCTGTCTGTCACTGAGCTCATAATAGCCGCGATCCAAGATCAGGTTATACGTCGGCACGTACGCGACGTCTTTGTCGCTGACCTGAAACTGGTACTCGTTTACGGTAACCTTGGGGCAGGTCAGGGAGCCGGTGGCGTTGGTGACGCCAGAGGAAACTGAGACTTCCCTGCAGATCTTGAAGAACGGGTCCCAGAGTCGGGCGCCGGTACAGATCCTGGCTGCTCCCACTGCGTTCATGCCCGACCGGGTGGTGATGTCGAGAAGAAAGACTGAAGAATGCATGCGAGGACGCCTTTCGTCAGCAAAATTGTTGGTGACCGGCCAGTACGTAATGTACTGTTGTGGTACATAGTTGCACAGGGCGCAGTGCGCGTTGCGGTACCTGATTCTGCCGTGATACATGTAGGCATTGTACGCGGCGCACATTCGGGCGAAGTCTAGGTTGGTCCAGTTAGCCGCACAGCTGGAAATCTTGGGTTGACAGTTCCGCATCAAATGTTCTTTGTCGTTATTGCCCGAATGTAGGGAAATTACGCACGCATGAAACGTTCCGTTGTTTTCGTCCATCAGCTGCAATCCCCACTCTCCAGCAGGGTTCTGCAGTAAGTTCTCTTCAATGAAGATATCGGTGATATTGAGGGCGTCCTGGTGTTCTTTGGTCAGCGTCGGACAGGATATCGCCGGCGTCCAAAACACAGACCCTGCTAAGTCACCGTGGCATATGGCGCAGCAATAGTTGCTGTAGGTCATCCCGCTGGCGGGGCTTGTAACCGGTAAAGCCGCGAACGGATCCTCGGCGAACGCCGCGTTGCGAGCACACTGGCTTCGCACCGAGGTGTCCCGCCACTGGACCGGACACCGGGACACCATGTACACATACCCGAAATCTGGGGATCGCCTGCATGCCAAGTCGTTGCGGGGCAGGGCCTGTGGGCTCACATCCAGGCAACAATCTCCGTACAGCGCGCACTCCTCGTCGCAGGAGCACTCTGCGAGCTCCCGTATTACGGGTGGGCATTTGTGCATCTCACTGCGCCACAGGTTGAGTGAGGCCAAGCTTGCGTCGATTATTGTCACGAGCTGGGCGTGCGCACGTGCTGCTGCCCAAAGGTTGGGCGGGTCGGCTACGATCGGCGCCGCCAGCAAGAGAAGCGCGGCCGCCGCCAGCATCGCCGCAACGACTGTGGTTGCGGCGGAGGGGTGACGCGCGTTCCTCCTCTGGGTTGGCAGAATGGCCTGCCCACGCCTCCGCTTCGCTGCCCTCGCCGCCGGAGCCAGACGCCGGATCACTGTGAAGGTAGGTCAAGTTTCAGCCCGGCGGCGGTTGGTCGGCCTCGCTATGTGATCTCAGCGCTGACCACCGTAACGTAACGATAGGTGGCAGAAACTAGGCCACGGGGCATCTCTTTAATGCGTCACCGGTTTGTAACCCGTTGCGGGGCCAAGCGTCAGCCCCCGCCGCAGGCCTTCTGACGTGGCTGTCAGGTCAGCTAGGCACCCGTTACCACGGCCGGCGCTTGGAAGAGGACATTGGGTCATATACAAGGGGCCCCCGAACGGTTCGTGATGCACTGGAGGTGAGCTACGCGGCGTGCGCACCGTCAAGCTTCTAACCATGGAGGCATATAGGAGGAGAAACAGACGGAGGGCCATGGCAGAATGCATTGTACCTGTCGACCACCGATTGGCCGGACTCGCCCGTCCACTGAGAGCGTCGGGCTCAGCCAGTGTATAATTACCCTCCTTTGGAAAACCCCCAACCGAAAAATGACCTAATCTCCCAGGATCATGGAACTCACCTCCACCACTGGGTCACGAAGAGTCCAGCACCGTTCAGTTTGCCTAGATCAACATGCTTGATATAAACAATACAGGCTTTGGAGCTTCTGGAGTTCTTTGCTGACAGTTATCGATTTTCGATATGCCAAGAGGTACCGAATAAACGTCGTTAGCAAGCAAAGTTACGCTTCACGCTCTGCTGCCGATAAAAACTGAACAATTGTCATCATTCCACAGCACCTGGCACGCAAACGGAAACGGTAAAACGAAATCAAGCACTAACTTTCAGGATAATACCATACCTACGTAAGCTGTTCAGTGCGTTCGCGGGAAACATTATGCATAGAGAAAAGACGGTACAGGTGGCATTATTTCTCGTGGTATAACCAGAAGAAAAGAGAGATAGGGTACCGATAGGGGGATGCGGATAGAGGGATAGAAAAGAGAAAATATTTTTTCGGGGGGGGAGCTACGTGCCTTAAAGAAGACGAATATCAGAAGTGATATTCGTTTCAATCGTTCGAGGCATTGTTGTTGTTCGATGAGCAACTGATAGAAAGCCCTAAGCCAGCCCTGGTCCAAACTGATGACTTGTCCACATACCCTATTACAAACAAAATCCAGTGCGTAGATTTTAGTTAGGTGCTGGAAATGTACAAGATGTGTAATCATGTCGTAGAACTTAAGTTTCCATTAAACGTTTGACAGGCTCTCGTTTGTAAAAACATGAAGCAGATGCTACGATAGTAAAAACTTTGGAGTTTGAATTAGTATTATGTCATAACTTTCCCACGATTGTAAAGAGCGTGAATGCTGCATTACACTTGAAAGCATGCATCACTTTTCAGCAAACAGTCATCATGTTCTAAAGGAAACTCATACGAAAACCTGAACCTGCCCGAACAGTTTTTATTCCGGTAGATAAAAAACGCCGTTGCTGACATAAATCCGCTGCAAAGCTACCAAATTAGACAAGTTTTCTTACTGTACTGTTGGGCAATCGCTGCTGTACACACACAATTGACAAATATAACACATATGTATTAAACGGCGAAGTGGTACGCGTGGAGAAGTAAGTGACGTTGACATATCAGCGAAGTGGAGCAGGACAAGAACGAGTCAGGGAGACGCAAAACAAAAACAAGTTGACAGGCATTGGGAATCATCTTTAAGAAAGCAACATACTGCGGAAGAAATCTGGCTTTTTGGGCATGGGCGTAATCACGACTCTGAGCTCGTGGGGACAATCGGGATTGAAAGACTGAGACTGGAATGTAAAGGAGACTACCTGTAATGATAATGACATTTTGAATTGGAAGTTTGCAATACAATAAACATTCTACAGACAACATTGGCGGATTACACGCATGGGCATGCAGCAAATAAAGAAGGGATACAAATCATGTTTTTCGTCCCCCGATCTCCATGGAAGTCTCGCCATCACTGGGCGTGCCATGACAGCCAGAAGACAGGAAATGGAGGATAGGTGGCAATAGGACAGAACAGGACATGTTTGCGGCCGTGGCAGGATGAGAGAGGACAAGTTGGAACAGGATTGAGGAGAAGATAATAGCACAGGGTAGGAAAGGACAGGGCAAAACCTTGAAACGCATGAAACAGCAGTCGTTATCGGGACTTAATGTCGCGCTCAACTGCTGAGGCCATGACGTCGCTCGCCTCTCACCCTGGCAGAAAGGGAGGGCACCGCGAGAAATTGAACCCTGTTCCTCTGGTTTCCCAAACGTGTACGTGGTTAACGCAAAACGTGGTTAACGCAAACACTCAAGTACCAGTACACTGATCCAATGCACTACCGGCACCCTGGGTGTAGAACAGCAAGCAAAATAAGCTAGGACAGTAATGGGGATGGCATGAAGGGACATGACAGAAAAGAAGAGGGTGGCGGATTACAGCACACAATGACGATAGGCAAAAAGAAAATTGTCAAAATAAATTGCGAGGGATGTTTCTTTCATCCTCACACCAATTACAGTATGAACTTCGGCTACTGCCCCCCCCCCCCCGCCCCACCTTGCCTCTTCTTTCCACCCAGCATTGGCCAGTGTCGTCATCGCTCCACCTTCTACGCCCCTGCGTCCCCTGAATGTGGGGCACTCCGCGGCGATCTACGGCCAACGAGGGCGGTGGGCGGCAATCGACGTGCTGTTCGATGGCAAACGGACGGGTGGTGTCGCATCGACCCCGCTGTAAGTCCGCTTTACTAAAAACGGCGAATCAGGGCGATGGTTATTCAGTTACTTGCGTTCTCTCCTCGAGGCCACCGGCCATGTTCATGTGCACCGAGTACGCACACAATAAACTAATGACCTCAGGTTGCAGGGGTGTAGTTTCCTGCTTAGTAGTGATCCCCCACCTCCTACACTAAAACTCCAGTCTCCCCAATTTTGTGAAGAAAGTGAGCAAACCCGCGAAAAAGCGTTTGCTTGTGTACTTTTGAGGTGGGTCTCATAAATTTGAACTGCTCTTACCCCCACGCCAATACATTTTGCAAAATACGCCCCTGTCACGCTATCGGCATGAGTGGCATCACTTATGTTGTGCCGCCTAACGCCGCGTACTAGACACACTCAAACATCAACGCAAATGTCTCGCCCATAGGGTTTACCTTTCTCTTCCCTCTCCCTTCCCCCCCCCCCCCCCGAACTTTGAGAAGAGAACGTGCTAAATCTGTGCAAAAGCCTATTTGTTACCGTAATCTGGTGGTAGTGGAGTAAATTTACACCATTCAGCTCACCTACACCATCTCATTTTGTGAAGTTACACCCGTCCGTCTGTGGACGCTTGTTTTTGATGAGGCATTTAGGACTCGCTCAGTATTTTTTTTTGTCCCTTCTCTCTTCACTGCTCCTCGCCATTATTGACCGTGATAGACAAGAACGTCTTGCATGTCAAACTCCGAGCACTCAGTATGAGGGGATCCTGTGGTAGTAATCTGACCAGAGCCGCACGCTTGACGGTACTTGAAGTTCGACTACATGAAATTCGCTCACCCCTTTCAAGACCCTTGGCTTCTGCTCTTCGACTTGGCTTCAATAATTCTGTGCTGCCACCGTGCTGTTGCGCTATTATCCTACGGCCCTGGCTGCCACCCCGTCGCCCACCCGTAAACAACTTAACGGGCAGCCAGTAGTGACCCTCCCACTATTCCATGCGACACGATGAACCATACATTAACAGCAAAAATAAGAAACGCAAGTCGCAGAAAAGTAGCCCACTCCCACGATTTTAGTACAGCAATATTCACCAGCAATATTCACGCAGGCTGGGAGTGGCAAAGGTCTAGCCCGAGGGATGAAGTCGAAGGCTCCACTTTCCGCTACTCACCTGACTAAGCAAGCTTGTTGCAGGTGGGTGATCGAAAAACAGAGTCGCCATTTACGGGGTGAATGCGTACGTAATAGTCATAAAATATATATACACGTAGGACGCCCAGCCACATGGTTCGTGAAATGCATCACGAAGAAGTATACTCTTCAAGAAAATGATGTCCTGTGAGCCTCTTCATGCAACTTTTTGTTGCCTCAAGAGCATCTGTTATGGGTAGTTTAAGTGACACGTTGGAATTCCAGAGACAGGGGCTAACCCACGTCGCCACACGACAATGATGGTTTTTTGGTGAGTTTTTCGTGAAAGTGACATCTGTTTCTTGTGGTTACTCTAGGGATATCTACTAGCGTAAGCAGGGCATCCGTTGCAGCTCGCAGGTTCGAAGTAAGCCTCCTATGCACTAAGGAGATTAACTGCTGCTTTGCAACGTCCCTAATTTTAGTAACTCCACTTTTTAAAAATAGGATCGCAATGCGCCAGTATTTGTGGATTAGCAATCATTTGTATTGCTTAAGGCCTTGCACACGAACGTAAATATCCCACATGGATAAACGTCATGTAAACTGCAATCACACGCTTTGACATTTCTCTGGTAGGACTGTCATAACCTAAACTCTTCGTGACATTTGCAAACTGATGGAGGGAGAGGGAGCGGAAGGGAACCATGGCCGCTAATACGATACAGATAACACATTCTTCCTGGTTCTGGAATCAGGAACCAGGAACCAGCTACCGGGAAGAAAACTTGGAACTAGGCGCATGTCTGATAATGACTGCTGCGTTACATTGTGAATATGGATAGTCTGACAGCAAATAACTCATCATATCCAGTAAGGGACTGGCATCAAACTATTAGGCTGACCCAGGCTTAAGCGCAAGGTCACCCAATTGTGGAGCAGGCCGCTACCGACGGCACTGTTAAGACCGGGTGGCGCACGGAAGTGGAAAATGTACGGTCCATCGTGCATGAAAACGTTGACCCGGCGCGCCATGGGAGTTTGGCCCCTCTGGACAAAGGAGATCCCTCAGTACAACATAACGAAGCTTTTGTTCTTTTGGTGTCAGACTGATCGAAATCGGCATGACAGTATTCGATGTACAGCCCTCCGAAGACGATGCCTTTAAAGACAATCCGCTGGTCGGAAAAGTGCCCCGCGGAGTACTTCTGGCGTCTAGTGGAATAGACAGTAGTTGTTTTTAGAAAGAAAACAAATATTTAAAAGGTTTGAAGGTTTTGGAGATCATCAAAGTGCTGGGATAAAAGGCCTGATACGTACTTTTGATATCCCTAGATCTCCTTAGCCTCTTAGACAAACGTTGGTGGCGTCGCTCTAGCACAGGAAGCTAGGCAAATAAATAC